TATGTTTGAATCTTTAAATTTTTAGTGTAATTTGTCATATCCTCACGGAAAAAAAATGAGACGTCATAAAAAGAAAATATGTATGTATTCTTACTAAACGATAGGAATAAATAGGAAAACATGACATTTCATAGCGGGTACTTAATTTTTTTTTTCATTTGTAACGGCAACCCTATTTGCTGAATAAACTAGCGCCATCTCGCGCTTATCTATTTTTAGAATAGTCATCCATTTTGTAATCTTTTTCGTGTTACCAAAAATATATACCAATTGTCCGTAAAAAGTATTTCTTTTTATTTCAAATTACCACATGGTAGCAGAGCGTGGTTGCTCTGAAGTTCAGGCCGTAACCATTCGTAAAAGAAATAACTCTTTAACAATTGCCGAAAGCTCAATGTGATTGAGAGGTTAAGTACCGCCGTTCAAAAAGAAATTGAAAAATGTCCGCAAGTACATTTAATTTAGAGAAATTGATGGGACGATCGAATTATTCTTCATGGAAGTTCGGTGCAAAAACTTATTTACAACACGAAGAACTGTGGGAGTGTATAGAACCAACCGACGTATCCAAGCCGGTAAATCCTAGTAAAGATGTCAAAGCCCGAACGAAAATCATCCTTCTTCTGGACCCCGTGAACTACGTCCATGTTCAAGACGCCCAGACCGCGAAAGATGCATGGAAAAATTTAGAAAAAGCCTTTGATGACAATGGTCTTACTAGGAAAGTTGGACTTTTGAAAGATTTGGTCACCACAACTTTGGAAAGCTCAGGAAGTATTGAAGCATATGTGAATCACATTATGAGCACAGCACATAAGCTGCGAAGCATAAATTTCAATATAGAAGACGAGTGGATTGGAACTTTAATGCTTGCCGGTCTTCCTGACCTTTATAAACCTATGATTATGGCTTTAGAGAGCTCTGGAATCCAGATCACTGCCGACGCCATAAAAACGAAACTCATACAAGAAGTCAAAAACCCAGAGCCCTCCGCATTCTATATGAACAAAAACAAAAGTAAAAAATTTGGCCCTCGGTGCTACAATTGCAATAAACAAGGACATTTAAGCAAATTTTGCAAAGCACCTCGGCGGTCAAACAATAATAAAGATACCAAGGGCCACAACTCTAATAATTCTGGTTTTGTTGCAGCTTTTTCTGTTTTTCAAGGTAATTCAGATGATCAATGGTATATTGATTCCGGTGCCGCTATGCATATGACGAAGAGAAAGGACTGGCTTTATGATGTTAATAAGCCTGTTATATCCAAGATCACAGTAGCAAATAGGACGCCTCTGTCTGTTGTCAGTACTGGTAAAGTGAATATAAACTTAAGTGAGAAGAGTAAAATTCAGGTGAGAAATGTCCTCTATGTTCCTGATATAGCAGTAAATCTACTCTCAGTGAGTGCTATGAGTAAAAGTGGATGTAAATTAATATTTCATAGCACTGGTTGTGATGTGTATAATAATAAAGATGACTACATCTGTTCGGCAACTCTCATAAACAATTTGTACCAGTTAAATACAAATGTTGGAGCAAATTTCATTTGCACTGGGATTTCTAATGAATCTGTCTTATGGCACCGACGCATGGGCCACCTAAACTTCCCTGATGTAAATAGATTGCCAAGCTGTGCTGAAGGTATGAGTTTGCCTACTGAGAAAACTAAAAGTAATGTTTCGTGCACAACATGCAGTGAGGGTAAACAATCTAGACTATCATTCAGCAAAAGCGACTCCCGAGCAACTGAGCCACTTCAACTTGTGCACAGTGATGTTTGCGGCCCAATGGAGACGCCATCAATTGGAGGTATGAAATATTTTATAAATTTCATAGACGATTATACCCGAAAAGTATATGTATACTTTATGAAAGATAAATTAAATGTCCTTAACATATTTAAAGATTTTAAAAATAGAGTAGAGAATGACCTTGACAAACGAATTAAAGTTCTTCGTACTGACAATGGGACAGAATACTGTGGACGGGAATTTGAAAGTTATTTGAAGGATAATGGGATTGCTCATCAGACAAGCACACCATACACACCTCAACAAAATGGCCTTTCAGAGCGTATGAATAGAACACTAGTTGAGCGTGCACGCTGTATGATGTTTGATGCAAAATTAGAGAAACGTTATTGGGCAGAAGCCGTAGCTACTGCTGCCTATATAATTAACAGGTCCCCAACAAATTCATTAGATAAGAAAACTCCCTTTGAAATGTGGTCAAAAAGGAAACCAGATATATCCCACATGAGGATATTTGGTTGTCAGGCCATGGTACATATACCCAAAGAGAGACGGTTAAAATGGGACCCTAAGTCTGTTAAAATGATTTTCTTAGGTTATTGTGATGATAGCAAAGGTTATCGTTTATGGAACCCTCAAACTAGAAAACTGATTAAAAGTAGAGATGTTTTGTTTTTAGAAGAATCTGTAGTTAATAATACATGTGAAGTTACAGATGAACAAACTACTGACAAGAATGACTGTGGACTATCTACTTCAATGTCATTTAAGAGAAATGAAGACTCTGCAAATGGAGGAGAAAGCACTGGTACCAGTGAATATGACACAGATGAAGGACAAGACAAGGATGAGACATATGTTCCAGACAGGCCAATAAGTAGTTCAGATAATTATAATAATATAACCTTAAGATCACGTCGACCAAAGCCATCTGAACCAGAAGATGATGAGTACAAAACTAGTTTTTTCTGTTATGATAATCTTAATGATCCACAATCAGTTGAAGAAGCTTTATCTTCCGTACATAAGAATGAATGGAAAAAGGCAATGGTCGAGGAGCTTAAGGCATTGTCTCAAAATAATACATGGACCCTTGTAGAGAGGCCACTAAATAAAAAGGTCATACAGTGCAAATGGATATTTAAATCTAAAACTGATCAGGTTGGAAATGTGATACGCTATAAGGCCAGATTAGTAATTAAAGGATATAAACAAAGGAAGGGTATTGATTATGAAGAAGTATACTCCCCAGTGGTGAGATACACGTCAGTTAGGTATTTGTTAGCATTGGCTGTGAAGTATAACCTGGAGATAGATCAGATGGATGCAATATCTGCCTTTCTGCAGGGGGACATCGATACTGAAATTTATATGGAGCAACCTCCTATGTATGAAAAAGGTCCATCAGTATGTCTGTTACATAAGTCAATTTACGGTTTAAAACAAGCAAGTAGATTGTGGAACAATAAATTAGATAAAGTGTTACAAGAAATTGGCTTTCAACGTTCAAAGGTAGACCCATGTGTTTATTATAATATAAATTTAAAATGTTTCGTTGCAGTCTGGGTTGATGACTTAATTTTGTTTACAACAAACAATGAAATCAAAAACAAAATTAAACAAGAACTAAAATTAAAGTTTAGTATGAAGGACTTAGGTGAACTGAAAAGTTGCATTGGTTTGAGTATAACTAGAGACAGGATTGAAGGTAAATTAATAATTAATCAAAAGAGATATATTATAGAGATATTAAGCAAATTTGGGATGCTGGACTGTAGACCGGTGAAAACTCCAATTGAAGTTGGTATTAAGTTTGCAGCATCTGAAGATAAATGTAATGAGAATTTTCCATACCAGCAGGCAGTTGGCTGCTTATTATATTTAGCACAGGCTACCAGGCCAGATATTGCTTATGCAATTTGTACTCTTAGTAGGTTTAATAATAATCCTCAGATGGAACATTGGCAGGCTATCAAGAGAGTAATGCGGTACCTACAAGGCACCAAGGACTATGCTTTGATGTATAGGAAGGATGATTCGAATCTAATTGGATACTGTGATGCCGATTGGGCAAATAATATCCATGATCGAAAATCATGTACAGGGTACATATTCATCTCGCAGGGCGGAGGCATCTCTTGGAGCTCTCGACGGCAGCAGACTGTGGCACTGTCGACTGCAGAGGCAGAGTACATGTCTATGGCGTCGGCAGTGCAAGAGGCTCTCTGGTTGAAACAATTACAGAAAGAACTGGCAGAAGATAATGATAAACCCCTAGTGATTTTTAACGATAACCAAAGTGCAATTAAGCTCTCTAAGTGTGATAGTTATAAACCAAAAACGAAACACATTGATATACGTTTCCATTTTCTTAAGGACTATGTAAATAAGTCATATATTAAATTTGAATATTGTAATGGTAGTCAAATGGTAGCTGATATCTTGACTAAAGGAACCACTATAGATAAGCATTCTTTCTGTGTATCAAAAATGGGATTAACGGGCTTGCGTTCAGGGGAGGGTGTTAGTGTAATGGAACGCAACCCTATTTGCTGAATAAACTAGCGCCATCTCGCGCTTATCTATTTTTAGAATAGTCATCCATTTTGTAATCTTTTTCGTGTTACCAAAAATATATACCAATTGTCCGTAAAAAGCTAATCATCACAATACAAGATTGATTGAAATTTTGTTGGAGGCACCATTTATGTACTATTTTTATCTGGCACAGTACTAGTTACAGATTAATAATCTTGCTTTAAGTTATAAAATAATTTATTTCCATTTTGCAAGTTATCATTTGCCTTATTTAGACTCGTTTCAATCAGCGAAGCGTAACAATTATAACTTAGAATATTACGGGCCGGTGGACGGGATATTTTTCATTATTTCAATTCAACAACTCTCATGAAAATTACGATTCAAGTAGCAATTGAATTATTGCGATAGCGAGTCCACCATGTTTATTTTGATTTTTCCCAATTTAGTTACACAACCATAACTTATATTTCATAATATTTATATACGCTATGAAATTATTTTAATATATTTTGAAAATATTCGATTTCCGTTGAATTGAATCTGGAATAATACTTAAGTACATAACATATTGCGAGAATATTTGCAGATTTGGAAATGTTACCGAATAAATCATCGTATCAAAAATGACTGTAAATTAATGAATTAAAAATAAATTAAGGAATATCCATATTAAATCGTAAACACCAATCGTAATTTTGTTGTTAGGTTACATATCTGTGGGAGATTGGTGCCAGGCAATGGAAGAGACTACTCGTCTAGGGCTGCCATGGCGAATGCTCAAGGATAAATTGGTTCATACCGACCCTGATACCCGTCGAGTCCGCTACATGGATACCTTCGATCTCAATTCCAATGTGAGTAATGAAAGATCTTTTTAGGATTCTGCACCAAAATGGGGGTATGACATAATAAACTAAATTATAGTTAGAATCTCAAACATATTTAAAAAAAATGAAATTAATAATAATAATACAATGGTTTCAAAAATAGGCGAATATTGAATATCGGCTTCAATTCCGAAATCACTGAGTCCAAATAAATTGAATTTGAATTTATTTGGGCTTAATTTCGGAATTTCATTGATAGTGAATTATTTGAGTAAATTTAGTGTTGAAGATTCAGTATTCGTTGTTTTCATAGTTATGATATAAGTAGTTAAAATTTAATTTTCATCATTCAATTTCAATTAAATACGTATATTAATTAAATATTCATGAAATCTTCAATTTAATGACTTAGTTTTATTTCGCTTATAATATCTTATCGAGCTATAAAATAAAAGATAACCTATAAATTTTATTACACCGCGTCGACGTCTAGACAGCCATCTTGAGACGGATAAACTGAAAGATACTGAACATTTACTCGGTCCCAGTGTTATCTTAATATTGATTATCGATTTTGTTACAGAGGATTGGAAGAAAAGCTGATACACAAACAGTAGTGGAAACTCTCTATAAAAACAAAAGAAGCTTAGAAGCTATTTTCAAAATTTTGGATAAAGATAATTCTGGTAAGACGTTTAGTATAATAACATTGATCAATTAAGATATTATTATAATTAATGTGTCCTTCTATAAGGCTTGGTTCAAATCTGACGAAGAAACCGTCAAACGTATCAACGGATGTATATGTTATTACGCTCGACGGAATGAAGGATCTCTTGTTGTCATATTAATATTAGTTTTAACGTTACGCGATGTATCTTTCGTCAGGTATGCACTAACTATAGTCAACTATAAGAAATTATTCAATCCGCATATTTAGGTATATCAAAAGAGAGTTTGATAATATATTATATTTTAGGCTATATAACACTGGAGGAATTTTCCGAAGCTTGCCAACTGCTGGGCAAGTACATGCCCAATCCGATGACACAGGAGCAACTTGTTGACATTTGTAGACTTATGGACATCAACAAGGATGGGCTGGTCGATCTCAACGAATTCCTAGAGAGTTTCAGATTAGCGGAGAAAAGCCTCCAAGACGAAGATTATGGGGATATAGAGGCCACCTGACAGGAACTTGACCGTCGTCCGAGTAGGACGGCGGTCGATAAAGATGAGATCGGTGTCGAAATGGAAATTCTGAGAATACAAGATAAGAATAAAGAAAGGAATGGCAATGTTCACGTAATGGGTGAAGAAATAGATGCTTCTGAGGAACAGGATATCGAACTAATTGACTATGAGTCACCAAAAAGACCGGGGCTTTTAGAAAGCGACATCTAAAACTTAGGGATTAATGATGATACTATGTCACCCTTCCTTGTTCGTGGACAAAACTTTCAACCATTTACTGAAAACTATTTGGAGGATGCGGTTTTCAAGTACTTGACAGTTCTTTACTTTGGTATAATCTGTGAATTCAGATAAAAAATATGAAATGTTTCAATGTCAGTAAAATTATACTTGTGTGATTTTATTTTCTTTATGTATGTAATCGTAATGTAACATTTATCATGAATAATGATTATAAAAAATGCCTAATATATTTCAAAGAGATTTATGGATATTATTGATGAATGTAATAGTCTTACTTTTATATAGTATTTTTCTAAAATCTTAGATATTGTAATTTGCGTATTCCTGTACTCACAATTAACATGTAGAAGGAACGTTATAGATATATTTTATCCTGTTATATTTAGTAAAATCACATAAAATATTTTAACGATATAACTATTTTGATATAACAACTAATTTTTATAATTGGTGCCAATTTTAATCAATTGTATATAGATATGAATAATGCTTAGCATCGAACTGATCAGTCATTAATATAACTTATAGATTTTATTTCCTTGCTAATACAATTTTATTGATATTGATCTATCAATTAACGAATGGGAACAATGAAATGACGTTTCAATTAAAGCAGTAACTCTTCAATCCACGGGGATACCTATTTATTTCGTAGTTTTGGATAATACTGCTTAGTTAATATTTCTTTATACGACTTGCATCGACCATTTTCATATAAATGCATTTTAATAATCTATATTATTAATTTTAAAATAAAAAAAAACTAATGATATGGTGCACCATTTTTGGATATATAAAATACAACTATTTTAGCCCATAAACAGAAATATATTAATGTATAGGTATCTAAAGATTGAATCATTCGGTTCATCCGAATATGTCTGAGGAATCTAATTATTCAATTATCTTTAAAATAAGTATTTTGAAATTCTAGTCCTATTTAAAGTAGTTTGAGTAATATACATATCTTTTTAATCAATTATAAAGCATTCCAGTGTTTCTGTGCCAGTAATAGCTTTTTGAAATAAAATTAATTACATACCTTATCTTTGAATTTAGAAAAACTTTTTGAATAATTCGTAAAATAATAGTGTTCCAAAATATTATTAATAATCTTATTCTATTCTATTTTATATGCTGTTCTATTCTATTATATAAAGTACGAATGCTTGTTTATCCTTCTGTTTGTGATGTATCTAGTCGGTTTTTTACTCTAAAAAAAATTTTGTTTTTTCATGAAAAATTCTTTAAAGCGTTTTAAGAATTTTTGTATTAAATAGTTCTTCTATATAACAACGTGAATGCAAATTGATCAAATATAATATTTGAGTGTTTCCTTTAAATTAAATGCATTAAGAAATATGTCTTAATGTGTGCACCTCCTGAAATAAGGCATCATTAACTTTATGTGTTAAAAAGATCTACAAGAAAAAAATATACTTAGCACTCAAATAATGTAATGTATATTGTATTAATACGAAATAAATACCGTATCGTGATACTAATTCAATTAATTCTATCATTACAGATTTTCATTTACCTATTAATTTAGAGTCGAGATTGTATTATTACTCGAGATAGCCTGACTTGGTACATCACTAACTTCTACTACGTCTACTAGTTAAAAATAAATGTTTTTTATTCTTATGTAATTATAAAATGTTTCATAATTGCAATGAACATTCACGTCAATACGTCGTCGACAGAGGCTACATATATGATTTTTCTATGTATAAATGAATTGTTATTTCTTATTAAAATGTTTTCATGTACATACATACGGCTGCACGTCAGGTTATCGATATGTCAAATTTCCGCAATTGATTTTACACTCAACCCTTACGAGTATTAAGGTTTAAAATCAAATTGATAAAATTTCCAGTTTTTTTTTTATAATCTGACGTGCTGTTGACTGTACAATCTAATTGTTTTTATTGATGTGCTTTTAGATAGGTATATCAAATTCAGTCATGTTTCATCTAAGAGTCAATGTTCTACATCATTAGTTGGGCCGTATCAATCAAAAAGTAATTTATTATTTTTGACACCATGACTCTTATAATACGTGCCATAATAGAATACACTAATTAACCCAATAATTTTCGATAACTACCGATTTGAGGTGTCGATATCTAATTGCCTTAATATATTGACATTTATAGATATCATTTGTTTTGATATAGTAAACATAAAAGTGTTTGTCATCTCTTCTCTTAATAACAAGTAAGAATTCTGTATTATTAATGCTAAATATCTATTCTTTTTCCTAATAATAAAATACTATGTGCGAATCTGTAGAGAAGATCTGTATTGTATTTTGAATTATTGTCCATTAAATTGTGATATTGCTGTGATATGTTTATTTTAATACCTTAATTTAACGGCGATTTTGTACTCTGTCTATCAAAATAGCAGCCTATTAATAACCAAAATTGTTTGGCCTTCCCCATGGAGAGGGAGGCTGCGTCATACGCAACCCACTATACGGGCCCAGTGCGGATTATTGCGTGTTAACGATTACAGATGCAGATACGACGAATAGCTTTACTTGCCTCTCGAAAAACGCGAGCGTTGCATATATTTGGTCACTCTTTTCATGACCGTTGATTATTTTTACACTGAAATTGTGACCATAAAAACATCTACTCATATATAAAAGAAGATGTTCTGATATACTGACTGACAGACAACTCAAAGCTTAAAGCCGCTGGTCGTCGAAATTTGAAATATGGAGTGTACATTCCTCTTATTCCGTAGAACGGAATTTTGAAAATTCCACCCCGTCGGAGGTCAAAAAGTATGTTTGTATGAACCTCCTTTGTTTTTGGACCTAATAAACTAAAAAAAATATCATCTTTCATTTTGTGGAACAAACACATTCAGCGATCGAAAGCAGTTGGTTTCACGCTGCTGCTGACACTAGGTGTTCCAGGATCTGACCTCTGTATTGTGTACTGAGTGATGTGCTCATTGTTGCATGTCAGGCTATCACATTATGTTAAGTTTCCACAATCGATTTTGAGCTCTATGTTCGAACCATATTTTTTTAAATCAAGAGGAAAAATTTGACAGTTTTGTATAACTTGACATGCCGCTGACTTTACTTAGTACTTTACATAGGTACAAAAGTATCAATCAACCGTTATACAGAAAACTCTTGCACATTTTTCCACAAACTTTTAATCTATAATGTTCTTTGTTTACAGTTATTAAAGGTTCAGTGACGATTAAGTATTATATACGTTGTGTTCCCCTGTAGGGGCGCAAAGGTCACAAAGGCTATTAAATTCAACCTTTTTGGGTGATGAATTAATGATAACGACACGAAAAATGATACTTCATTTGATAATACCATATTTCCGAACTCTCTAAGGGGGTGTTCATAATAGTAATTTACTTATCAGCTATAGTTAAATTGTGATCTTTACTTGGTGCGAGTGGACGAGTTATTAACCCAGTTGGTGATCCAATATATTAAGACTTTAATTAATTAATGGTTATGAATATGATATGTATATAACTATGTAATCGGAACAGAAGAACATTCATAAGTTTTGATTCATATGAGCTTCTATACACGTTTACTAAATATTGTAAGTGTTATCGACCAAGTGATGAATTTGTGCATTTAACATAATACCCGGGCATTATTTAAGCTGTTTCAGGCTAAATAATGAAATAAATATGACTTTCAGTTCCTTATTTATCACATTGTCTTGTCATTATGAGTATTGCCATTTGGTGCTCAATCAATTTGATAAAAATACATACCTAATCCATTATAGAGTCTCGTTTTTCTCGTTAGGGTCCGGAATCCTAAAAACTTTTATTTTTTATAGATGATAAATCTACAGACATGGAAGTAGTTTCTATATATTTAACAAAATTACACAAAATTGAAAAAAATATACTGGTAAATTATGCGGGCTGTAGAGAGGAGAACAAACAGGGAAGTAAAGTAATTGATTTTACGGAAACGAATTCTTAGCAGTAAATAAGGGTATTTATTCGTTGATTATTTTTATACACCATGTAATTTCTGTGGTATAAAAAATACCTACTTACCTCCCACGTGTACTATAGAGATAAGACAATTTCCACTTTTCAATTAAGTGTTAAGGTGGGTGGACCATAAAAGGCCACTCTAACGAGTAAACATTGTTTATTCGTTGATTTTTGGATAAATGGAACAAACAAATTATTAAATAATACTTTCTTTATTGTGCAATATACAAATCACTTTTTTATCTAGCTTTTATTACTTTTTATTAAACTTAAGTTTTATGAAGCTCTACCACATTGTGCTCCAAAATAGACAATTATTGATAATTTTATACATCAGCCGTTAAACTTAAAAATATAGTTGTAACATTAAATATATTTACTTTTACTAAAACTACATAATATGCTCTATAATTTATGCAAAACATACTCACTATATTTTCATCAGTAATAAAACACCATAAAATAAATAATATATTATTGGCAAATATTTAAAAATGTAGTAAAAATATTGTATTGGCATCATATAACTTACCAACCCGTTTCATAATGAAATTAAAAACATTTATTTACTCAAAATAGTGAAAACTGAAAACAACAAATTAAGTTAAGGTTGGTTCTTTTTATTCATTTCATTTTCATTTTACAGGTAGAATTCAATTTATTCACTTGACATTGGCAGAATTGTGAAAAATGCGCAGATAAGCCATTAATAAAAGAAGAAGACGAACCACTTTCTATCAAACTACCTGTTTTTTTTCCGCAACTTCGCTCGCGTAAAGTATGACTTTTATAAATATGTCTATTAGTTTCGAAGCCTATCCAATGCAA